TATATGTAATTGTAAATTCTAACTATGTTTTCTTTTCTTTCTTGTATTACTTTGTAAGACTCTGCATTGTCACTGTGTTGCTGCCACCTTGGCCAGGTCTCCCTTGCAAAAGAAATCTGTGATCTCAATGGGACAAACCTGGTTAATTAAAGGTTAAATAAAATAAAAAAATAAACCTTTAGTGCAATGTCAGTGTAGTCGATTGCCCCAAATATATAAGAAAAACTGGACATGGTTGCAAATGTAGTTTTTACACTTCATACATTTAATGCAAAACAAAGTGTAAAGACATTACACAAAGAGCAAACAGTAAAAAAAGGAATAATCTTGGTGTTCCATAAAATTAATTCCTTTCAACTCAATTCATGGGAAGAGGTAAGAATACATAGCATTTCAAATGGCAAATTAAATGATCAAATTATCTTTGGCTTAAATAAACAGAATCCCAGTAGGATAAATAACTGTAATAAAATAATAATAATAATAATAATAATACCAATTACAATACATACCAGTTCACATTTTAGATTTACTATTTTTTCACATGAAGACATGGATTGATGGCATGAATTGTTGGCATGTGTGTAGTCATTTCACTGGTTTACCTAGACTTCCCTGCTTTACAATGGGTGTTCACCTCCTCCAGAATTTCCGTAAATATACAATTTTTCATGCCTTTTTCATGCTTAGCTGGATAACTTGTTGGATTTAAGTAAGAAATCCTGCTCCGTGATGCAGGCCCCAATGTTACCCAACCCGGTCCACAGGGTCCCCCAGTCCATGTTTTTGCTCCCTACCAGGTTGGGAAACAGTGCTCTTGATGACAGAAAGTCAAGCTGGAGCCCAGTTTCAGACCCTGGATGGAACATTTTCCAGTACCGGGCTGCAGAGGTGGATAGTTCAGGTGCAGAAAGTAAAAATCCAGACCAAGATTTTGTTTCAACCAACCAGTTGACTATAGAATAAGAATCACAGTTACAGTAAGAATCACAGTTAGTACTCAATTGGTTGGTTGAAACAAACTCTAGGTCTGGATTTTTACTTGCTGGATCTGAACTATCCACCTCTGCCAGGCAGGTGATCAAATCATAAGAATAAGAACCACTTATTTGTCATTCATTAAAAGTTATTCTAGGGCTTCAGACTTTCTGACACTTGGGGTCAAGCTCCTGTTCATAAACCCATCAAACCAATAACACCCAGCTTTCTAATAAGCCCTTTTCCTTTTGGAGACTGGAAAGCCAGGCTTTGAATTTACTGTTTCCACAAGGGAAGTCTCTTTTGGCTAGGATGTTGATGCGGTTAGCTAATCCTGATTCACCTTCTGGACAAATGTAGAGCTTTCTATTGATTTTACATTGGTGTTTTATGGTGCCTCAGACACACCAATGCAGGGCCGATTTTGCCACGTTCCAGGTACTTGTCAAAACTTCCTGTGTGGGATCTATCTGACCTCTCATCTCTAGCATTATACAGATTATTCATTATACAAATACAGACATTTTTTAATCTGACAGATGAATAGCCTTAACATTAATGTTAGCAAATCATTAAACCTACATTCACCTTGGTCTAGGGACCTTCCATTTTTAAAGATAAATGGATATGGAAAAAGAACAATGAATATATCCCCCAAATGATTTTTCTAAGGATGTAATTTCCAACTACATAAATTAAAATAATAATGATCAGTTACAGATTCTACAACCCCAATTCCAAAAAAGTTGGGACGTTGTGCAAATTGTAAATTAAAAATGAGCTAGTATTTTTCATGAAATAGCACTTAAACATTTGATATGTTTTATATGTTCTGTTGTGAATAAAATATGAGTTTATGAGATTTCTATATGATTGCATTCTGTTATTTCAAGCCAGAAACACATCTCAAAAACATTGGGACAGGGGCAATGGGAGGCTGGAAAAGTTAGTGGTACAAAAACCCAACAGCTGGAGGAACAATTTGCAAATAATTAGGTCAATTGGCAACAGGTCAGTACCATGCTTGGGTATAAAAAGAACATCTTATGCCTTGTCCACATGTACACGGGTATTTTTTAAAACTGTGTTTTTCCTCCTCCGTTTTTAAAAAAATCCCCGTCCACACGAACATTGTCTTCTAAAATATTTCCGTCCACATGAAACCGCTAAAATGCGCTGTCAAGAGCATGCCAAACTAACAGGCGGCATTATAACTCTAACCGTACTGCCCTGTTAGCCAATCAGAAGCTTAATTGCCAGTCCTGTTAAGTTGAAAACCATGGCGCACATTCTGACACCTGTGTTGATCAATATAATGCGAGAGTGATTCAACATTTATCTGTACACATGTAAGAAGTCCTGTCAGCAAGTTTAGCACAAGCACTATTCCAGCTAAGTCCGCCATTGCTCAAACTCGCCTAATGTATACAGCAAACAGCGCACGCTCTGACGTTAAACATAGTGGACAACGGCACACAATCTGACGTTTCGAGCCAAAAACACTGTTTTCCCTGTCTACATGTCGACGGTGAAAATGTAGTTTCTTAAAATCTTCACCCTGGATGGAGTTTTGCAAAAGGTCCGTTTTCAGCGACCTAAAAAGCCGTTTACGTGTGGACGAGGCATTAGAGTTGCAGTGTCTCTCAGAAGTAAAGATGGGCAGAGGATCACTAATCCCCCTAATACTGCATCGACAAATAGTGAAGCAATTTCAGAAAAAAGTTCCCCAGTACAAAATTGTGAAGAGGTTGAAAACATCATCATTTACAGTACATAATATAATCAAAAGATTCAGAGAATCTGGAGAAATCTCTGTGCATAAAGGACAAGGCCAAAAAACCATACTGAATGCCCGTGATCTTCGGGCCCTTGGGCGGCACAATGCACACAGTGTCATTTCCAACTACATAAATTAAAATAATAATGATCAGTTGCAGAAGATGCCAGTTAACTGTATCATTCAAAGAAGCAGCCATATTTGAACACGATCCAGAATCACCGTCTTTCTCTGGGCCAGAGCTCATTTAAATTGGATTGTGGCTAAGTGGAAAACTATTCTGTGGTCAGATGAATCTAAATTTGAAATTCTTTTTGGAAACCAGGGACAACATATCATCTGGACTAAAGAAGAGAAGGAAGACCCAGCATGTTATCTGTGCTCAGTTCAAAAGCCAGCATCTCTAATGGTATGGGGGTGCGTTACTACATATGGCATGGGCAGCTTGCATATCTGGAAAGGCACCATCAATGCTGAAAGGTATATCCAGGTTCTAGAACAACATATGCTCCCATCCAGATGACATATCTTTCAGGGAAGACCATGCATTATTCAACATGACAATGCCAAATCACACACTGCATCAATTACAAACATAATGGATTCATAGAAGGGTCCGGATACTGAACTGGCCTGCCAGCGGCCCAGATCTTTCACCCATTGAGAACATTTGGCGCATCATAAAATGAAAATTACAACACAGAAGACCTTGGACAGTTGAGCATCTATAATCCTTTATCAGAGAAGAATGGGACAACATTCCACCCCCAAAACTTGAGCAACTGATCTCCTCAGTCCCCAGACATTTACAGACTGTTGTTAAAAGTAGAGGTGATGCCACACAGTGGTAAACATGGCCTTGTTCCAACTTTTTTGAGACGTGTTGCTGCCATGACATTGAAAATTACCTTATTTTTTTCCTTAATATGGTACATTTTCTCAGTTTAAACATTTGATATGTTTTCTATGTTTTGTTATGAATAAAATAGGGGTTTATGAGATTTCAATATCAATGCATTCTGTTTTTACTTACAATTTGCACAACATCCCAATGATTTTGGAATTGGGGTTGAATTTTAATTGTGAAATTCACGTTTGTCAAGTACACTAGATGTCCCTATTTTTATTTATATTATTTTGCAACTGTTAACTGTTATTTCAATCAGCCATCCGGGCCAGTATTGTGGGGGGGGGGGGCCTGGAGCCTATTCAATGCAGCACAGGGCACGAGCGTGGGGTTAAGCCTGGATGGGATGCCAATCTATCGCAAAGTACACACTCACACACAAATTATGCTTTTTTTAAGCATGTTATGCACAAATTATGCATATGACAAATATGGCAAGTTTATAGAAATTATTCTTAGAGAGATTTTAAGGCATAGACCTGGTAATAAAATCAAAGAAATTCATATTTCACTTCCTTCAGGCTTAGGATAAGTCACCGCGCTCTGGTGTTTGTCTAACTACAGTGACACTAACAGTGTACTCTGACTTAGTAAAAGTGCTTTTCCAAATGGCTCCCTCTGATGGCCTGTTAAACAATAACACTTCCTCTGAGAAATGCTCAGAAGCATCTATGTAAAGGTAAAATTGAGCAGCGTGCCATTCATTGTCATAATTACACATTCTAATCATCTTAAAAAAAACAACATGAGAAATAATTGACCCTATGCATATAGAATGTGGTGCACAGAGAGACCGCTAACCCCCAAAAATCCTTCAAATACTATAAATAATATATTTACGGATAAATAATCTAATCCTAATGAGATACGTGATGGACTCGGAGCCATCCAGGGTGCCCCATGCCTTCTCACTGGGTTTCGATGGATAGAGTTCAGGTTCATGAAAGACTGTATAATAATTATTAAATAATGACACATTATTAGTCTCTCCATTAGCTCACCATATTATCCATGTAACTAAGCAACACAAAATGAATAATACAAAAAAACTACAGGTGGAAGCTTCAAATTTTATTGTCAAGAAGAAACAGAAGTCATGATTACCACGTTTTGGCAATAAAAGGCATATGGTCTAACAAAAGCCTTACTTCATGGTAGGAAAAGACCAGGGAACTGATCACAGAGGGCATTTAACTGACATTTAACCAATTAACCATAAAGTTAACTGACATAGAGTTTCATAATTTATAAAACACAAAAACGGCTCATTTTCAATGAACCGCGTTCCACTTAATGCTATCTAGGTAAGCCAATACTGCGCTTCTTTTTAGAGAAGGACAGCACTGAAAAAACAGCAATACATAACAATAATAATAAAAACAACACAAAACAAATATACACACATACCATTGATACACATTAACAGGGCAAGATAACCTACAAGACACAAACCAGCAACTGAAGATGAGGAATTAAGACAAAAGACACAGACGAAAAAGTACTACTTAAGACAAACAGAAGTTGGCTTGATGAATCACTCCTGTCGTAATCTAGGCAAATGGGATGGAAGCATCACTAAGCGTTCAACAATCCCAAGCGACGGGGACTGCTTTGTGGCATGTGCCGTGGTCCATCACCAGCCACACGCTTGTCAACAACCGGCAAAATGGCAGCCCAATTTTCCCAGCAAGTGGCACTTTTGGATCCATTCGCTCGGACAAACCTTCACATTGAACGCAGCTGACCAAACGAGCAGAAACTAGCAGAGTAAGTCAGCACCAGGCTGAGTGCCATAACAACAGGCACGTCACCGCAAGAGAACTGACCGAATGAGAAAGCGTTTCCTTAAAATACTGCAGTGATTTGATATATTTCCTTCAGAATGTAAAACGGAGACATATACGACACAAAGAGCCAATGGTTAGAATCCTGAGCTGTTCCTTTGGTGGGGTTAGGGGTCTGAGACCTGGTGTAATGAAGGCCCGAAAAGCAGAGCCAGAGCCGTAGAGATGAACTGTAGTGACTCCCTTAGGAACAGGAATGCTACAGACGTATCCTCAGCACATGCCTTAACAGCCTTTTCCCACTGTTTCCTCCTGTATTATGGCTCTCAAAGACATTCTCTTCTTAGCTTCTAAGGGTAGGTTAGCATGGTGCTTCCAAGCATGTGATAGGCAGTTAAACAAAAAAAGGGGAAAAATACAGTACATTTATAAAAATTTAGAATTCACACTGCTTATCCAGTCACACCTCTGAGCTAGCTTCCATTGGAAAGCCCTTTTCAGTAACCTTACACGAGATCCAGGAGAGATCAACGTCGCCCTGGGGGGAAATAAGTTTGCTATGAAGCAGCATGGCGGACATTTGCATCCATGGCAACAAGAGGCTGGCAGACCTTCACACTCCACTTGCTGGGATACTCGTTGAAGTATTTTGAATTCAGTTGCCTGTTTAAGGGTACAACAGCTGATCCCTTCCAGAGACCCAACTGTGAAACGTGGGGAAAGGTTCACATCTACAGTCTCACATCTGAACTCCTGAAAGCAGCAGGTTCATCATGATGGATGTCATTCAGAGACACAAAATCGGCAAGTAAGGCGCATTAATATGAAGATATCAGGAACAGCATTAAACCATAAATGAAAAATCTCCCAGCATGGGGGGGGGGGGGTAAACAAAAGCCTTCATTCTTGTAAGGTTCCCTTTGTTTTTTTTTAAAGAGCAGACTTGAGGAACAGGCCAAAACCAGGGAAGTGTGTGGGCAGCAGAGAGTTTGCACTGCAGGCAGTAAAAATAAAACATCGCAGTGCGTCGTCCCTGGAGTGGTGACAGAAAAAGATAAAAGGGATAAATAATGCAGAAGCACTAGTAGGATGAAAAGCGTTTCAGCTGCCTGAAAACCGGCAACCTGGGGCTGATGTCCAAGTCCAAAGACCACTGATCTTCTGACCAATCTTAACAAAAGCTAATAGGGGATAAAAAAAAAAATCTGTTCCAACTTCCAACCAATGGTAAGGCTTCATGAAGATCACAGTGGTTTGAGACGCAGGTTTTCCTTTTTTTTTTTTTTAAATACAGCCTACTTTACACGACGGTTGAAAAAGAAACTGGAGTGGTCCAAGAATCTTCACAGCTCAGTCGTTTTTTTTTCCCCATGACAACACCTCAGGCTAAAAACACACTTCAGGGTGGGGATAAAACTGTTAGCCTCAATCTCAAAGTAATTCACCTGTTCGAAAATAGCACAAATTAACCTACTGTTACATTACATTAAACAGTCAAATTTAGGTTTGAGGCTTGTCATGCATGTACCAATTTTATGCTCCACTATATGAAAACTATGAAAACAGGGTTTTTTTTTTTTTTAATAAAACATAGATGACCTTTAAATGACAAACTGGTTTGTCACTGTTTTTAATTGTATTATTGTTAATTTGCATATTACTTTGCATATTAATTTGCATATATTCTACTGTGTAAATTTTTTCTGAACAAGTATACTTATTACCCAGATAAATAGCTCTTTGACTGACTTTCCACAATACTGTACATATAAGCATATACACACACTTTTGTTTCACCACCTATTTCACAAACTTCCCTGGTGCAGGGACAGACATGTTCCTCACCTGCAGGGTTCACCTCCAAACCATCGCACTCACACAGTCATCTCATCTGTGGCTCTTCTGGGGCTGGGCCAGGCCCACATTCTCGTACACGCGGGAGCAGTCGTCACTCAGACTGCATGTACAGGAACAGGAGCATCGAGTCACGTCTACACACGTCTGCTAGCGCCACCACACTGCCCCCCACAACTACCAATACTGTGCAGGTAGATTTAGACCCTCCCCCCATGTACTTTTTTGATCTTTTTCAATGTGGTGAGGCCCCTCATACTCACTCAACACAGGTGGGCGTGGGGGTACATGGAGGCAAGGGGCTTTGGTCTCCGCCAGTCAGGTCCGACAGGGAATATTTGATGTTGGTGTACTCTCTGCCTTTGATTTTGCTTTTCTGTAAAGCAGGAAGCCGGTTGATCTGGAATGAGCTGGACTGAGGTACACTGAGGTGGACTGAGGCAGACTGAGGCGGAATGAGGCAGACTGAGGCCGATTAGTACTTCAGGAATTAAGCTTTAAGCAGCACAATAGCTGAGCAGTAAAAAGTAACGCACGCCTCATTAAACGTTTGCTAAAGAAACACCAGCAAGATTTTATCTTTGATTTCTATACCTATGGCTAAAGGTGCCAAAGGATGGATTGTACCGATGTGTACACTGGTTATCACAAGGCAGGACTGACCAGCACGTGTCCTCTGGCACTGCAGGAATTGCAATTTTCTCTCTGCCTCCTGCTGCCCTGATTGCAGATGGTAACAACAGTAATGTGGGCCTTCTGGTTTTCAACAGGAGCTAATGAAAATGTGGTCTAACGGGTTTCATCCATCCATCCATCCAGTCATGCACTCATCCATCCATCCACCCACCCACTCACTTATCCGATGCAGGATTGACAGGCAGGCTACCCTGAGGTACCCCAGGCTGCCCTGAGGTACCCCAGGCTGCCCTGAGGTACCCCAGGCTGCCCTGTGCTGCCTGCGACAGAAGCCCTGAGATCCTGACCAGGATATTCAGTAGGAAGATGGATGGATGTTTGGGCTGTAGAGCCTGAGACGCTGCACCAGCAGGCAAAAAGAGGATGAGGAAGAATACGATGAAGGTGGGGGGGACCTGTTCCACCTCGATGCGGCGCTGCAGTGTCTCGATGTAGTGCTGCACGGCCATATAGATGAAACGGTACTGAGCCTCCGTCTGCACCATCCCGGAGCGCTGCGAGCGCACCGTCTGGATGCTCTTGGGCACATCGATATCGCAATCCACCCCTGCGGCGGCAAGAGCAGAGCCAGCCCGTCAGCCCCCCCCGGCCACACCTCCCTGGCAAGCTACAGACCCACTGCCTGGGAACCATATGACGAGAAACTAAGCATGAAAACACATTTAAAAAACACAAAACAAAACAAAAAACAAAACAAAAAAAAAAATATCTAATTCATTGCCAAATGAAGCATCAGTGTAGAAACCCACCACAGTAAATGTGAGGATTAACTTACAGATGCTGTAACTCAAACCTGCTGGAGTTTCCCGATTTTTAAACACACTAAAAAGAACTTTCCAGAATCTCGCAGAACATAATTTCCCTAAAAACAGCTATAATCAAAGCTGGTTTTTCAGTGGTACTTTATGAAAGGATAATTAATGCAGAATTAAAAAAATAATAATAAAAAAGACAGATGAATGTGCACTATACAAAATTAACTGAAATACACTGACGACACTAAAGATCAATGGAGGACATTTGTTTCTAGTTCAAAGCAATTCAGCTATGTGTAAATATAATAATTATTTAAATAGATGTTTCAAATTTCAGCAAACTCAATGCAAATTCTCAAGCTGAGGATTTTAAATATGCAGCCATTACCACAAAGAGAGCTGATTCAGTTATACAGCAGTAATGCAGACGTACCCTTTTCTCTGATTACATCAATGAGGATGTCAATCACAATGAACGTTCCGGTTCGTCCAATCCCAGCACTGCGACCAAAGAAAATACTTAAATATTCAACAGAATACAATATACACAAGCAAACTATTTGACCACAAAAAAGTAAACAGAACAAGCTACTGTACAAAATAACGAACAATACGGTCACATTGAGGCAGGTATCCAAATGCTCAAACGCATTTCAGGCGATGTGTGGGATGGGACACTCACCTGCAGTGCACCACAATGGGCCCCACCTCCAGAATGCTGTCCTGCCTCATGTTCACCTCCTCCAGGAAGTCTAGCACACCACCGGGGTCTGTTGGCACGCCGTGGTCCGGCCAGGCCCGAAAATGGTACTGCCAGACCGTGCGTTCCGTGTTGCCCTGAAATCACAAAAGCTGCCAGGTCACAACCGCCGGCTTAATGCAGACTTTTTTTGCACATTAAAGATAATTAAATGGATTTAATTAAGACAATTAAACTGAGCACGGTCTTGGGCTCTCAAACCCCTGTTCAGAACATGGAACCCGCCAGTGCTACGGCACCCAGCGTGGGATAACTGCACCTGTCCCACTTTGGAGAGCTTCAGCTCCCGCAGGATGTAGTCGTGTGCAGAGGTCTCCTTGACACTGCGGACCCTCATGGCTCCATACTCCTTCAGCGCCGATACATCGGGCCAGTACTTCACACACTTACTCTGCAGATGGGAAGACAAGTCCTCAAGCACTTTGATCATGTAGCATGAAATGGAAGCCTAAACTGTCCCGCAGTTTCCCTGGGGTGTGGCTCTGTGGGTTATGACTCTTTGCCCATGATCGGAATATCGCCAGTTCAAATCCCATGATTAGTAGAGTGACTTCCCCGTTGGGCCCTTGAGTAAGGCCCTTAACCCCAACTGCTCCAGGGACTGGTTGACCCTGCTTTTTCACCTGCACCTCGTTTGATTGTCTGCTAAATAATACAAAATGCATGTAAACCCATTAATGACTGGCAATGAATTATTACCAGTAGCTACTTACATCCATCTTCTAATTACTTATCCTGGTCAGGGTCACAGGGAGTCTAGAGCCTATTCTAGGCACTATAGAGCTCAAGGTAGGGGTATACCCTGGACTTATTGTTGATGAGCCAGAATGGGAATGTTCTCCACAGCTAATTTGCTTCTCTATATTAAAGAGAAGCACTTAATGTCCGAGTCCTGTTCACCTACATTTAACACCCAACGTAGAGCTTTCAGTAGGAGCTTACAGTGACAGAAAAAGATCCAGGCCAATATGGAGACCATCCCTGGGTCAATCACCTTGCCCCGTTCCACCTCCTTAGTGGTCATAACGATGACGTGGGAGTTCTCCTGATAGACCATCCTCCAGAAGTCACTGATGGTGTTCTGCAGGCAGCCCTGAGTGGCAATGTAGTTCTTCTTCATCTTCATGTTGTTGCACTTGGAGTCCACCTCAGGCTAGGGAGAACAATGCAGGGTAAGGCCTGAGAGCAACCTCAACACAAGCAAATAAAGAAAGACCAGCCTCAACATAACCAAATGAAGAGAGACCAGCCTCAACATAATCAAATGAAGAGAGATCAGCCTCAACATAACCAAATGAAGAGAGACCAGCCTCAAGATAACCAAATGAAGAGAGCAGCAAATAATTCAATACTAAATTCAAAACACACATACAATCAACATCCATTCAAACCCAAAAATGACTGACAAAGTGTGAAGACTAACTGGTAATGCTTTACATTAACTGCACCTTCATAATGCATTCATCATATGAAGTGTAAAGTATATGCTTCAACATCGACCTTAAAAGCTTTAGTATACATTAATAACAATCATTATATGATAATAACAAACATAATCATGCAATCATATAATGTTTGTTATTAATATTTTTTAAAACTGTTAAAGTCTGATGTTAAGGTATACTTATGGTACTTTTCCACTGGCATGCAAGAACCAAGCCATACAGCAAAGAGAGACTAGTTACAGTGTAGTTCCAGCTCACTTCAGTTTTCCACTGGAGAAGGGTCGGCTTGGTAAAGGCGTTTCTGTGTTTGGAAAGTGACTGTGACGTAAATCCGAAGAGACACTTATTTACTATTCACCAGTGGTGGAATGTAACAAAGTATTTGTACTTCGTTACTGTACTTAAGTACATTTTTACGCATCTTTACTTCACTTAAGTAAAAATAATACTTTTTATTTTACTCCATTACATTTTGCGGCAATTATCTGTACTTTCTACTCCACTACATTTCTACAATTTATGCTATTAGTTGTTACATTTTATGAACACAATTTCTTCAAAATCTTGCATGAAAAAATAGTTAGCCAATTGCGTTCTAGTGTTGTCTGCCATTTCCTACCAATCAGGTGGCTTTATTAGCTCCAATGATGGCAGAGCGCGTGTCAATTAGCAGTACGAGCTGGTAGACTGGCTTGATTTCAAGAAGAGGAGACATTCAACATGGCGCCACCCCACCACTAGTGTTTTGTTACTGTTGTGTCTCCCTTTTACTGCTCTTAACAGATGTGTTGAATAGTTTAGCAAGTACATAAATGATTTAAAGATATATCATGTCCTGATTGGTTTATCTTAATGGTATATTAGTGGGTAATACCTAGTAGATAACTTGTCATCCACATAATTCTAAGTTAGGGTACACACAGTATTGCAGAGTGCACACACAATAAGCATACCAAACTTTCCAATACACAATTACTGTATAGTTGCTTGTAATTATTACGAGCAATGACATCGGTAGAGGCGTAAGTCAGTATATCTACTATTCTTTTACAAAATGGCACACCCCAGAAGTTGAGACAAACCATTCTGTGAGTACTTTTACTTAAAAAATACTTTAAAGTAAATTTAAAAGTACTTAGTACTTTCACTTAAGTAAGATTGTTGATGTAGCACTTCTACTTTTGTACATATTTTGCAGGATATTTGTACTTTTATTTAAGTACTAAGCTTCAGTATTTCCTCCACCACTGCTATTCACACAGTGCACTTAAAATTAGCACCTAGTAAATTATGATGTTAGCATCAAATGTTAGCGAAATTACAATTAGCTTGCTTAATTTGCATTACAAACCAATTCTGCAATGTGGGATACTACTAATAATTATTATATAGAATATACGGTTTTTTCCATCAGATAATCCATGTGTAGAAGACGGTATATCTGTGCATTTCAACCAAGCAGATAGTGGTGACGCAACCAACATAAGCAGGGCCCTGTCGTCGTGGATACGGCTCTGGTATGGCTCGGATGCTTCACAATGGAAAACCACCAGTTCAGTACAATGGTTCAGGTACAGCTCTGTTCATAGTGGTAGTGGAAAAGCGGCATTACATGCTGCTTATGAATGTTCTACGAATGCATTATGAAGGCTTTATGAAGGTGCAGTTAATTTAAAGCTTTACTGAATAATTTATATAACATGACTAATATGCTTGTGTTGCCCAAAGGTAACCTACCATGATGATGTTGGCATTGATGTAGTCAGAGCCAGGTTCATTCGGATCACCGTCAAGGAGGACTACACGGGTGTGATCAACTATAAATAATAAAAAAAAACACTTATGTTTAACCAGGAGACAAATGCATTGTTTTAATTCTTTCAGAAAAAAAATTCCACTAAGATGGTAACAATGCCACGATTCTCCTCTATTTAGCTTATTTCTCACAGACTATGGTGGCATCAGTCTCTTCAGTCGGTAAACTTCCAATTAAACTGCACACAAAGGATTAACTTGACTCTGAGAAAGGAAGGCAACTGTGTGCCCTACTGTGCACATTTATTTGGCCTGTTTGAGAAATGATTTCTTTAAGGCCTTTAATGGCACCTGGTAGATCGTCCCTGCTCTTCTCGGGTTCTTTAAGGCCTTTAATGGCCCCTCGTAGATTGTCCCTGCTCTTCTCGGGTTCTTTAAGGCCTTTAATGGCCCCTCGTAGATCGTCCCTGCTCTTCTCGGGCCGAGCGTATGTTCAACTAGCAGCAGCTGCAGGCGCAGGACTGTACTCACACGGCAGGATGTTCTTGTACCGGTTCTTGTTCTTGTTCTCTGGCCGCTGGCCCTCCTTGCGGCTGTACAGCAGCTTACACTCTTGCTGTTGGAGGGTCTGTGGGTGGGGGATTAGAAAAATGATTGGATAAGGGCCCACCCCCCATTCCAAAATACCAAGTCTCCATCATATGGATAATTAGAAGCCTAATGAGCACTGCTGTCTACACTCCATGCCTGGTTGGCATGCAATAGACCAGGTGTCGGCAATTCTTGTCCTCCTTGGCTCAGAAGCATGCTGGTTGTTGAATAACAGAGCTAAATGGTGAGTGAAATAACCATTTGTAGTGTGAATGACTGCACGTGACTGCCTTTTCAGAGACCAGAATTTAACTCCCCTCCAAATCTACACCAGCTTCAAGACCAATTCAAGCTGTTCTGCATGCTAAAAATCAGTCACCAAATGTCCCTGTAGGATCCCATGCATCCCATAATTCCATGGGCTGCATTCCAGTTGATGACACTCACCTCAAACTCCTCCCAGAAGCCCTGCTTGACTTTGTCGGTGGTCTCGGCCAGCTTGCTCAGTTCCCGCACTCGACTCTCGATCTCCGCAGCGTTGATGCGTGTCGTGTTCAGGGGCTTCCAGGTAACCAGGAACACCGCCATTACAAGCAACATCTTTCACATGGGAGACTCCCGCCAACCCGCTCAATATGACTCCCCGTTAATAGTTACAATTAACCAGTTACTAACAACAGACCACGGGTAGTACATAACAAATCCAATGACATATCATTGCAAAGTCCCTGTCAGGGATTTGGGTTGCAAAGTTTGAATTGGTCAGCATGAATGTATCCCCTGAACCTGGAAGGCTATCAGATACTCATACTGGCCCTGTGGGACCTTGGAATCAGAAGCCCCATGAACAGCCACCTGCTTCAGCTGGAGCACAGTGCCCAAAGTCTCCACCATGGGGTTCTTCTTGTAATGCTCCACAAGGTCCGTGAGAGAGTCAAATTTCTCCCCCCCACCAACATCATACTTCAGGTCGGGCTGCAGGAGGGAGATAAAAGCCATGGTCAGACTCCCAACCACGAGAAGCATCCCTCAGGTTCATACATTTTTCAATCAACAAGTGCCCAGGACTTCAAGTAGATTTCCAAGAATCAATTCAAAGAAAGATTTTTTGTTCATCCTACTCAGGAAGTGTTCAAAGTTGTTATGTGATCATCATCACATGACACAATATGTACTCTGTGTGGAAGAACCAGGTGTTATGATCTCTGTTATAATCTTACAGTCATCCTTTGGATACGGACGTCCCTCCCACTGCATATCATTTTACAGATATGTATGTTGCCTTTCTCCCTTATTCAAACAAACACTATTAAAGTTTGCATTTCCATACGGTCCAATAATTGTGAGCCGAACAATAATAATTATCCTTTCTAGCTATCACCACATTAAAAAGTCATTAATTTATTCCTTACATTTGCAATGACTAGAAACAATTATTGCGTTTTAAAAGTTAGCACTAAAAGACAAACTGTTTGTGCGTGCCGTTATTACGCTGATAAGCGCGAGAAACATGCAACAAAAGTAAGAATGGAATAATGTTACGGTAACTTGGAAGTATATCCAACATGTTATAGAATGTGTAAGGTTGAAATATCAGACATAATAATAATAATGAGAACAACAACAAATACTGCCACCATGCATGTAATCACGTAGGAAGGAAGCTGTTGCAGCTGCTAGCATCTGCATGGAATTATAAGATAGAAATGACTTTATACCTATTGTTAGAGTTTATTATATATAATAAATGTGTTCCTTCCAGTAATCACCTGAATAACACCAACTCTGCCTCTCTCTCTCTCACACACACACACACATACACACACATACACACACACACACACCCACACACATACACATACACACACACACACACACACACACACACACACAC